GACTACTACTACTACTACTACTACTCCCAAGTGCCCACAAACCTGCATCTCTACCTTAACGGGGACTGTGTCATTTTCAATGACTTGTTTTTTGTAGCTCTATGTCGAATATATACCCTTACTTCATTAAAATTGACCATCATCAATGTTTGCGATGTTTTGACGCCACTACGATGTTATAACCTTTGTTTGTCCTGTTTTTATCAGCTCCGCTGTCGACTTTGTCCATCGGCGTCCGTCGTCGTTCGTGTCAATGTCAATGTTTTACTTTTTCGACTTCTTCTTGAAAACTACAAGCCTGAATGCTTTGATACTTGGTGTGTATGTTTCTGGGCTAGACCTCTCTTAGATTTGTTTATTTCATGATGATATCTTCAATTCTCTAATAATTTTTGGTGAATATTTTTGTAATTTTTTGTAAAAAGTGATATTTTCGACTTCTTGTTAAAAAACGCAAGTGCAATTGCTTTGATATTACATATATCGGTACTACATGTGAACCTTTCTCAGATTTGTTCCTTTCGTGATGATATCTTAAATTCTCTAATTGTGGTGAATATTTTTGGTAAATAGTGATATTTTTGATTTCTTGTTAAAAACCGCAAGTCCAATTGCTTTGATATTACATATATAGATACTACATGTGGACCTCTATCAGATTTGTTCATTTTCTAATGATATCTTCAGTTTTTTAATTGAAATGTGCCTTGCTAACAGCGGAGCTATCTCAGCCGAGAGGCTGCTTGTGTTTGATTTCACACATACAAGAGATCTAGCAGTGAAAGTAAAATGGTCTATTATGTTTGCAATTTGTTTTACATTTTATGACAATTTTTATGATTAATTATTTTCAATGAATGTACAGTTGAGTGCATAACAACAGTCTTTGACAAGCTGATTCACATACAATTCATTAGTTTGTTTGGTGTAATAGTGATTTCTCATGGGCAAATGTCAACCAAACTTTGTACAAGTACAAGTATTTACAGTGGATATATTTTTTTTGACAGAGCAGTTTTGTCTGTCTGTCCATAAACAATTAGTTAATAAATTAATTATTTTTTTGTTTACTTTTATTTGAAAACTACCTGCCCAATTGCTATCAAATCTGTTCATGTCGCGTGCGTGCATCCTGAGCTGTATGTCAGGCATACCTTGACCGATTCTCTTCAAACCTTGCACATAAACTTAACACCTAGCCTGCAACACATTCACTTGCAATGATTTTGTGTTTAGGTCAAAGATGGCCGACTGGTGGCAATTTTTGTTGTAAAAAAACATGATGTGTTAGCAGATTTACTTCAAACTTGGTGGAAGGATTAATCCATATGGATAGTTGATGCACACAAGTTTGTATACGTGTGCACATAATTTTATCACTTGATCAAAGATGGCCAACTGCTGTCCAGTCTAAAATCAGGTATTTGTTCTGAACCATATCTTGGACATGTGTTGTTTGATTTTCTTCATGCTTGGAAGGTGGGAGGAGTAACCATTACTTTGATTAATAAAGTCTATTCGAGATGTATGACTCAATCCATCTATCTATCAGATCACTCGTATGTTTTTTGCACATGTGCAATTCTTGAAGTTATAAAATAGCAATGTAAAAAATGGTTACTATGCACAGGACTAGTAGCTAAATTATCTATAAATGTTTAATGTTTTGAGACATCACAAAAATAAAGTATGTGCTTTACGAGTCACAATGAATATGAATAGGATTCATTCACAATCACCAACAAATTTATACCAATAATGTACATTCATTTTCTTGCTATAAAATAGCATTCATTGCCACATAACATTTGTATCTTCATCATGAAAAATACTATGAGATACAGGTTTTATCACTCTGCTGAAATATTTTACGTCACACACCATAACTACTCCAGGACCTATTGTTCACTTTATATAACAAACAACAGACTTCTCTATGATTATGATCTTAAATTTATTAATTTATTAAAGTGTACTTATTCACAGTAGTACAAGTATATAAACCTAGGTATAAAACTTCCATTAAATGATTATAATTACATATTATAACAGGGTAGAATTGAAAACAGAAGACAATGATCTTGAGAAGATATTCATCTCATCTGATGATGCAGAAACCCCACGACGTATACTGATTGAAGGGGAGGCCGGTATTGGCAAGACCTCATTATGCAGAAGACTCGCTAGTGATTGGCGAAGTAAGAAGGACTATCTTAAAGACAGATTTAAATTTATTCTTTTACTGGAAGGGAAAAAATATAGAAAGGGTCTTAAGGAAGCGTTAAGAGAACAGGGTTTGATATCTGAAAGTATTAATTGTGATGAAATGTGGGAATATTTGCATAACAACAGTGAAGACATACTTTGGGTTATTGATGGTTTAGATGAGCTTTCTATATCTAATGAAAGTGAAATTGTGAAACTAATAAAAGCTGATATCTTTCGCAAATCAACT